TTATATTTATATATTATTTATAATTATACTCTTTTCTTAATAGATTGAAATGTTACATTATAAAAACGAAATAATCATTCAAAATAAAATTTTACAAATTCTGATACAAAGGTTGAAGATTAAGTTAAGTTCATGCTTTGAGCTGAGCTCAATTAATTATTCAATGGTTTTTTCTAATTTGCATAAGTTAAGATTAATTAATTATAGTTTTTTTTAAACAATATTATCATGGGATAGACTCGAACTCGTTTAAGGAGTGAGGAGAATGCATCTTAAGGTGGTCAGATGTCACTTGATTCGAAGGACTTGGTGCAATTAATTAATTATTTAATTAATTAAAATATTAATAATTAATTTTATATTAAATTTACATCTTTTTATAAATTTTAAATATAAATATTATATTATATTTTAATTTTACATTATAAATTTTAAGTATAAATATAATATAATATTTTAATTTTATATTATAGGTTTTATTTTAATTAAATTTAATATAAAAATTTATATAAAATAATTGTAAATATTTTATTTAATAAAATTTGACTTGTAGCTTAACCACAGGCAATAAAAAATTTCATTTTCAATTACAAACCTTGAGTCCAAGGTCAGCTGTCAGCTTGAGCAAAGCGAAGCTGATAACCTTTTTTAGACTAAAAACCATGGAAATGGAGCTAGTTTTCAAGCCATATTTTTTTTTGCCTTCCAACAGACTTAACGGCTACGATTCCCTCCTTTTTGTTGTTGCGTGGATCCTTCCCCTCCATTCCACGCTTGGACCATCGTTTCCTCTCTACCTTTCAAACTCCAAGAATTTTCCCAGCGTCGGGCATCACTGCTCCACTTCCTCCAATTGTCTTTCGACACGTACCATCAACCGATGACGTGTTCAATCCCCACGTGCAGAGTGTCACTATATAACGTTTGTGATTTCCCCTGTTACGCTTACTCGGCCTTCTCCTTGCCGGTGAGCAACACGAAAGCGACGCCACACTCCGGTCGTTTCGAGGAATTCATGCCTTTTTGGTCTCCTCCTTGGCGGTTTCTTTGCTCGTCTCCTCTCCTCTCGTGCATCCGACAGCTAACCGTCTTCGGAGTTTGAGGTCGGTCGGTTTCTTTCTTCGCTTCTGATCTCCGATCTCTCTGAATCTTTTAATTTTTGCTCTTTATTGTTCAGTACTATTTGACTTCCGAATTTTTTATTTAATCTTCCAATTTCATGGATTTTAACAATATTTTTGGATTTAGGACAATTCTCATATCGTTGTATTTGACTATTTGCTTTGTTTAGTGGTAATTCGGTAGCAGAAGTGACTATTTTCTTGTAATTTGGATGTGTTAATTCTTTGTATTTTTTGAGACTATTTTGTTGTTTCTGCAAATTTGTTCTTATTAAGATTATTATTATTGTTTTTTTTTTTTTTCTGATATGTAAATTCAATCGTCTGTGTCTCAGTTTGTGCTTATTCCGATGGGATGGGGAAACATTTACAGAAGACGTTTAAAAGTATTTACACTAGCTGTAGTAATCTACCTGGATTACAAGGTAAAATTTATGAACTACTGCTCGTTTATATTTTGAGCCAATATGTTGGAAAAGTTCATTAACATTCTGTTCTTGCCTCTTTTTTTTTTTTTTTTTTTTGTTACTTTAGTCTGTTCAGCAAAGACAGAAATGGATGAACAAATCCAAGAGAACTGCCTTTTGGCAAAAAGCTCATGAACGCAATGCTAGGCGTCTTCTCAACTTGATAATTGAGTTGGAAGGTTTATGGGTGAAGCTTGGGCAATACTTATCCACTCGTGCTGATGTGCTTCCTGAGGCATATATTTCGCTTCTCAAGCAATTACAAGATTCTCTTCCTCCCCGTCCCTTACGAGAGGTGGCTCTCTAAATCTTGTGTTTAAAAGTCCAACTTCTTAATTGAGGTTGCACCTGGGTTATAGAAGTAGGAGGATTTAGTGGCTTGGCTCAGCTGTTCTCTAGGCTCAAGTTATACAGTTAATTCTGCATTCATGCATTTTTTGATAACTTATTTACATGATAGGGTGCAAAATTGAATTATGATGACTAGGAGTACATAAAAATTAGCCAATACTTAGTATGATTGATAAAGGCAGGGCATTATGTAATTACAATTACAAGAGGGTCAATTCAGTGAAGAGGTCTGGATGATAAAATCAATTTATTGAGTGTGAATTGGGAAATTATTTGGGTGTCTGTTTATAAGCATGTGTCTTTTGGGTGTATATTACTCATATGAATGGAAATTGTATGATACTTGATTAAGTGATTGCTAACTTTTATTTCCACAGGTTTGTCATACAATTCAGAAGGAGTTGGGGAAGAACATGGATGAACTCTTCATGGATTTTGTGAAAGATCCTTTGGCAACAGCATCAGTAAGATCCTTGAGCTTGAGCTACAATTGGCAGTAGGAATCTAATATGTGATTCACATAGGACCATATTTTTGCTATCTTATTTCCCTATGGTATATCAAAACTAAGTCAAATGTTCTTGATGACATCTTTCATCTAACCAGATTGCACAAGTACATCGTGCAACACTGATTGATGGGCGGGAAGTAGTCGTCAAAGTTCAGCATGAGGGCATCAAGGAAATCATATTGGAGGTTTTAATGCTTGAGTTAATTAGGATGTATAGATGAAAAGTAAGAGTTGCAGTCATTTTACTGTTCTTGAGCATGCTGTTTGTTTTACAGGATTTAAAGAATGCGAAATCAATTGTTGACTGGATAGCATGGGCAGAGCCACAGTTTAACTTTAATCCCATGATAGATGAATGGTGTAAAGAAGCTCCAAAAGAACTCGATTTCAATAATGAAGCTGGTATGCTCTGCTCTCACTCATCTCATACAAATGCATCCTTATAGGTGTGTTAGATCCCTTTGGCCTTTCCCATTTGTGTCATTATTATTGTCGCATATTCCTGTAGAGAACACTAGAACTGTTTCTAGAAATCTTGGATGCAAAAAGCTTCATGAGGATAATAAGTCTTCCAACCAAGTGGATGTTCTGATTCCAGAAGTTATTCAGGTATTGCTCTAAAGTTTAAACTAACCCCTAAAGGTAAATCTGCACGCCACATTGCATAGAAAATGGATTTCTATAAATTTTCATTTTTTTGGGGATTTGAGAATGCTTTTGTTTCTCTTATTATATCACAATTCCAATAAAAATGGAATATGGCAACGGTGGAACCAGAAAATTATATGCAAAGCAAATTGTTTTGATTTTTGTGCCCATGTATAAATCTATAAATAACAGTTAAGGGCTATATGTGCTAAAATTCCTGCCAACAATTCACTTGTTTACCTTGATACTGTCTCTGCAAAAGACTCCAAACTTTTAAAATTTTTGAAAGAATTAATTTTCTGCTCTTGTTTTTAATATTAGGCAACACTGATGAAGCACCCTTGTCAATTTTGGGGACCGTATGTTTCCAGTATTAGATATTTGGCTATAGCACTTTAACCCTCAGATGCACCGTGAAATCAGGTTCTTCTGAAATTTTTTTTAAAATGAAAAGGGGAATGTGCATTAGTATATACGAGATTTTGCATGAGACATCTCTATGTGAGGAAGGGATGCATGCCTTAGTTGGCTTTATCCACTGTGGCAATATTCTCCTTGATTATTGCCTGAAATTTATTCTTCCCCGCTATGTGTTCCATTGGTCCTTGAGTTTGTAAGTATCACTCAAGAGTCTCTTTATATAAATGACAGTCAACTGAAAGTGTCCTAGTTCTGGAGTACATGGATGGAATTCGTTTGAATGACTCTGCATCTCTAGAAGCCTTTGGTGTTGACAAACAAAGGATTGTTGAAGAAATCACTCGTGCGTATGCCCACCAAATATACATTGATGGATTTTTTAATGGCGACCCTCATCCCGGTATTCCCCTCCTCCATTATTTCCTCTCCTTTCCCTTAGCATAATTTTTCCCAATGAGTTTAATGATAAATTGGTGGTGACAGATTAGGTATTCCCAATCCAGAATATACTACTGATGAATTTAAGCCGAATTTAGTTTGTTAAATGTTTTGTGGTTTATTTATCACAGGTAATTTCCTTGTTAGCAAGGAAGCTCCACATCGTCCTGTTTTGCTTGACTTTGGGCTTACAAAGAAATTATCAAGCCCCATGAAACGAGCACTAGCAAAAATGTTTTTGGCATCTGCTGAGGTTTGTATTTATATATACTTCTTCTATTCTTTTCTGGTAAATCCATATTTAATCAGAACTGTAGATAATCAAATCTGTTATTTTCTTAGTATCCAATACTATCAAAGAATTTTTTCCTGCCATCGATCACTTTTACTCTCAACCTGTCTCTAATCTTTCCTTCTCAACCAGTCATTATGTCTATCATGGCTTTATTGATTCATTTTAGTAACTCTGAATAACTATAACTTCAGATGTAATCAAGGTCAGCAGAAGCTCCATCATCATTAAGCTGAAAATAGATGTAACAATATTGGTTTTCTGGTTCTAGAACTTTTAAAATTACTTTATCATTGTAGTAAAGTTCAAATGGTGCCTTTATCATGATATCAAATTCTAGTTTAAATATTGCTGAGTTATTTAGTGCCTTGGCCGTCATTTCCATAGAGCTTGAAAGTAAAAACCCTTCTTTTATGATTATGAAATAATTTGTTATCTTTGTCCCAGGGTGACCAGGTGGCTCTTTTGTCTGCCTTCACAGAAATGGGACTTAAGTTGCGCCTGGATATGCCAGAGCAGGCTATGGAAGCAACAAGTATATTCTTCCGAAGTTCGACACCAGCAAATGAAGCTCAAGTAAGTATGCAATGCTTGCTTCTCAAATTGTCCTTTTTCAATTTAAGTCAATCTTATCCAATTATTTTCTCTATGAAGAAAACTGTGAAATCTTTGGCTGAGCAAAGAAACAAAAACATGAAGGTTATACAGGAAAAGATGAAACTTAATGAAAAAGAAGTTAAGCGCTTTAATCCTGTAAGTCCATTTCATCTGTCATTCTATTCCTCTCTGATGTGTCTAATTACTATTATGACTTAATATAAAAATTTATTTCCAGGTTGATGCCTTTCCGGGTGATATTATAATATTTTCACGGGTTCTTAATCTTCTTAGAGGTCTGCAAGGAATTAAAACTTCCATTCTTTACTTGGTTCTGTTAAAAATCATGCCTCTGTTGATTCATTGTTTCTCATTTGACTCAGGGCTCTCTTCCACTTTGAATGTCCGCATAGTATATCTAGATATCATGAGACCATTTGCTGAAACTGTTCTACTAGGGTTAGTCTCTCTTGATTTTTCAATCATGGAGTTTCCTTTTATGTTTTCTTTTTTCCACTTCATATCTCAATGAACTGTGTTTGTACTTTTCAGAAACATTGATAAGGCACCTGCAGCAAGTCCACAGTGGATCTACAACACACCAGTTCATTCTGATGTGGAATTGAAGCTAAGGAAACTCTTAGTTGAGCTGGGGAATATTGATAAAATACTTGGAGTACAGGTCTGTACAGCCATGCTATTCAATTGTTAGATGCAATAGGTAATAACTTTGTTGTTAACTTTATGGTTAAAAAACTCACTAATTGTCATAAGTAAGTTTTCTTTTTCATTTTTTAGACCTTTGACTTGGAAAGCCCCTCTGACTTTCAGTGCATTTTGATCATATTTTCCATTATGTTTGCTTAAGGTATGTGCCTATAAAGATGGGGAGGTTATTATTGACACCGCAGCTGGAGTGCTTGGAAGATATGATCCTCGTCCAGTTCAGCCCGATTCTCTTTTCTCTGTATTTTCCGTGACAAAAGGTATCACTGCAGGAATGGTACATTGGCTGGCAGATAATGGGTATGTAATAGCATGGAACTAAGTTTTAATGTTCCATTTACCATAAATTAGCTGCTGTTCAACTAAGAGTAAAATATGGGAAATGAGCTATATTTCACGTTCATGGCAAATCTGTAAATGTCATGTATACTTGGAAGTTGGAACAGGAGCAGAACTAGAAACTTATGTTATAGGGTCATAACAAGTTTGAAAGATCAAATTTATAAAGATTCTTTAACAGTTTCTTGCTAAGGACAGCATCTTTCTGTCTTGCAGAAAACTCAAGCTGGAGGAAAATGTTGCAAATATTTGGCCAGAATTTGGAGTAAATGGGAAAGATTCCTTGAAGGTTGTAATCCTGTGACCAAAGATATGAACTGACCAGCTGCCCTCTTAAGTTACTGGGTATCATCTGATCATTGTTAATCATATATAGTTTTCTTTTGCAGGTTCATCACGTGCTTAACCATACATCTGGTTTACACAATGCACTGGGCAACGTTGGAACAGAAAATCCTTTGCTGCTGATTGATTGGGAGGAATGTTTGAACCACATTGCTGCGTCTGTACCAGAGACTGAACCTGGCCTACAGCAGCTCTATCACTATCTGTCTTTTGGCTGGATCTGTGGTGGCATAATAGAGGTAGTCCAGTGCTCTTGTTTGGAGTTATACATTATATCAGGTGTATATAAATTAACCTTTTTGGCTAACAATGAAATTTATTTTGACATGATTGTATTTATGTGGTTGGGCAAAACAGCATGCATCTGGAAAGAAACTTCAAGATGTTCTTGAAGAAGCCTTCATCCACCCTCTTGGCATTGAAGGAGAGCTATATATTGGAATTCCTCCAGGTAAATGTCAGATTTTGATTTGTTGATTTCCCTGCTTCATTAAGTACAGATGCTATATACTCACTGTTGCAGACACAACCTAAGTCACCTCCCGGTAATGTGTTTACAAAGTTAGGATGCTATTTGGGCTCAATTTCCTTACCTGCATTGTTATTCCTTCTTTGGCTCCTTACCAGGTGTGGAGTCCCGACTTGCTACACTTACACTCGATAGAGATGATCTGGAGAAGCTCTCAGGAATGCCAAATCGTCCTGAATTGCCATCCACCTTCCAGCTCAACCGCATTGCCCAAATGGCAAGTACCTTCCCCACCTTATTTAACATGCTAAATGTTCGTCGTGCCATCATACCTGCAGCTAATGGGCACTGCTCAGCTCGTGCACTTGCACGCTATTATGCAGCCTTGGTTGATGGTGGTGTGCCCCCACCACCACATTCCTCTTTGTCCAATCCACCACTTGGGAGCCACCCCCACATTCCCAAATTTTCTGGACTGAAGCTGCATGATAAGCAGAAGGATAATGAGACTAACGAGGGAGTTGCTGATACAAAGAAAAAGCAGAAAAAGAATTATAGCAAAGAGCTTAAGGATAGTAGTCACAGTAGAAAGAGCAGCAAGGACGATTACACTTACACTAGGCTTGCCAATGATGATAGCAGCAGTAGTAGCAATACCATCATAACCAACATCAGTACAAACATAAATGAGGCTCAGAACAAGAACCATAGGAAGATTTTCAGCAACCCTAAGATTCATGATGCATTCCTAGGTGTTGGTGAATATAGCAATATGGCCCTTCCAAATGTGATGTTTGGACTTGGATTTCGGAGGTATAAATCAAAGGATGGGTCATTGACTGGCTTGGGACACTCAGGCATGGGTGGATCAACAGGTTTTTGCGACATTGAAAATAGATTTGCTATTGCAGTGACCTTGAACAAAATGTCATTTGGGGGAGTGACTCAACAGATCATACAACTAGTTTGTTCAGAGTTAAACATACCATTGCCAGAGGAATATTCAGGATTAAGAGGAAGGGGTCTTGGTGAACGGGATACCCCTCTGATTAACTAAGGTTTACACATTATTTATTACCTGTATGAATAACATGCAAAGTTACAAACTTATGTGTCTCACTATGTTGTCTCACAGATTCATTCTTCTTTCCTTTTTCCCCTAATACTTGTTACCGAGAATTTGCAGACGTCCAAATTAGTTTAATGGTATATGAAAATAGACTGCTAATAATTTTCATATTCATGAATAAAGATTGCTCTCAAGCCCAGACTCAGAATTACAACGAGATGCAGATTCTTCCTTGCATAATTACAGATAGAAATTTGTAAATGCAAGCAAGTTTTGATTTCAGATCATGTGTAAGATAGAGAGAAGTGAATGTGATGGCATTTGCTGGCAGTGGCACCTATTAATTAAAACCATGGGACATGGCTAATGCTCTGTCATGTGAATGTGATAAATGACTATATGGCTTCACAGACCCAGAAGGAAAACCTGGAAAGGATGGCAGATCCAAGGAGTAGCAACCTACGCCAAAAAATATGTCAATTATTCGATCAGCAAATCTACAAAACGCGTTTTCTTCCTTTGTGTCCATTTTTTAAATAGAGGACCAAAGAGTAAAGGGGGTGGGAACTGAATATAAAATTAATCTCCTCTAATGTGCTGCTCTGTATTAATATGAGTCGGAGAGAATATGCATTATTTTATGAGGAACCCATTGGCAACAAGAGACACCCACTCTCTCCTCCTCCCCCGGTGCCAAATACAAAATTATTGCCTTCTAACGAGCGGTTGTCATGTCATGTCTCACTCACCCACAACACCCACCACACAACACATCCTTCCAGTCAAATGGCACTGTAGTCATTTCATTCAGAACCAAGGGTGCTTTGTTAGTGCTTCAACTATATATAGGTGATGCATGCTCTACCACTCCAGCCAGCAGACAAAGCATTCAGTTCTGCCTCTCCCATTTCTTCAATCCATTCCTTCATTTTTCCAATTTTTCATCTCATTCAATCTAGTTTTCTTATTTAATTTATTGGTGGTGAAGAAATTAGTACTTAGTTATTGTAAAGGTTCAAGTTTTGCATAATTACAATTTTAAAGTTAGTAGATACCTATTCGGCTTTATTGAAAAATGTTGGGCTTAACATCAGCATGTTCCAGGCTGATTGGCGATTTGGTGCACGCGCTGGGAGCAGCAAGATCAACGTCGCATCATGATACCAAACCGAATGCCACTTGGAAGCCGCAAGAGCCACGGCTGCCAGTGGATGACTTAATGCTCCGGGCTCTCACTGCCGTGTTTGGGATGGAAAACAACGGCAGAATAAAAAAGGAGAAGGCGCGTCAGGTGGTGGAGAAGCTCGGGCTGGTGCAGGGTGAGGAGGAGAGGACTGGCTTTGACCTCCCCGGAAGTGGGCTTTTAGAAGATGAGGTGCCGGTGGAGGAGGTGCTGGATGGATTGGAAAATGGGTCGGAACGCAACCAGTTGCTGCTCGAAGCCTTCAGGATTTTCGACGAGGACGGAAATGGGTTCATAGATGCGATGGAGCTGAAGAGGGTGCTGCAGTGCTTGGGGTTGGACAATGGGTGGGATATGAGTGAGATTGAGAAGATGTTGAAAGTTGTGGACTTAAATCTTGATGGCAAAGTAGATTTTACTGAGTTTGAGGTCATGATGAGATAAAACGTATAAAATTCTCATTTCTCAATGCTAATTTAATCCTCATATCTAATTGTAACTTCGTCCTTTTGTTTCAACTAAATTCAATTAAAACCTTGCAATCTCCTTTTGTTTTTTTAGCTTAGTGTTTAGCTTAAGTATAGCCTTTTCTATAGAATTTATGTTTGATTAAATAAATAAATACTTAAAAGATTTATTATAAAAATAAAAGCATATAGAAAACATAAATTTAAATGTGTTAAATAAGAGACAAATTGTTTTAATTTATTGATTATGTAAAATCCACCAATGATTGTGGAATCTATATGTGATCAATGGACAAAAACTCTTCATCACTCACTTGTTTTTGTAGTTTTAAGTCCTTCCATTGCTACTTTTTTTTAATATAATCAATTATTTGACAGCATAAATATTTAAATTTTTAAAAACTAAAACATTTAACGAGGCACTAATTCAACCAAAATTTTATTAATTTATTAATATTTATTATAAGAATAATAGGTTTAGAATGTCAACTTTTTAATCTTTAATAAGCTGAAAACAACTATAGAGTTGAGAGGCGGGGCTATTCCTTTAACATTAACAAAAGCAACTTTGGGCCTTAAATGCTCACAATCGTGTACTACATGGACGAAACTGGGAAAAAAAATGAAGTTGAGGGGCGGGGTTTTTCTTTCTTTCAACGGTTGAGATTACGGAATCACCGTAAGGTGGAAGGGCACACTGCGTAGTATACAAGCCAGGTAACCTGGGCCCACTCAAAACGCCGTAGTTTCAATGTCTTTGGCTTTATTCTTTCCGTGTCCATAATCGGAATCGGATTCGCCTCTTTTACACTCAACCGCCGCCGGGGATAATAAAAGGAGAAAGGCTCCGCCGCACACTACAGAAGAGAAGAAACGGCGACTCACAGAGGAGAAACAGAAACCGGAGATCCTTGAATAAAGCTGGATTCTTCTGTGGCTGCTGCTGCTGTGGAAAGCTGAATCGATTACGTATATTGCTCTATTTTAGAGACGGCAACGGAGAGACATGGCGTCGGACTTACAGGGTCAGTTGCCGCTGTGCAAGAGAGTAGAATGGTCAGATGTGATCCCACTGCCACAGGATGATGGTCCCAACCCCGTAGTCGCCATAGCCTACAAGGAAGAGTTTCGGGAAACCATGGACTACTTTCGTGCCATCTACCGAGCTGATGAGCGCTCCCCTCGTACCCTCAGCCTCACCCGCCAAGTCATTCTCATGAACCCTGGCAATTACACGGTAAGAGATCTACTTGAAGTCTTGAACATATATGTATATCCCTTTTTATGGCTCATTCAATGTTACATCCTGGTTTTGTTTTCTTGATCAAGGTGTGGCATTTTAGGCGGCTAATACTTGAGACCCTTAATGTGGATTTGCATGAAGAACTGGATTTTGCCCAACAGATTGCTAGTGGCAACTCCAAGAATTATCAGCTATGGTGAGTCAAGATTGCTTTTGAGTTCTGATTTCTGTTTGTATATGTTGATAAATAAATTGAGAATAGTTCTTCTTTCCCTGAGTTTAATTCATCCATACACTCCATGTTGACATTGTTGACCTTGTGTTATGTTCTGCTTTCCTGCTAGTAGTAGTAAACCTCTCTTCATTGTGATATTCATGCAATTTTAAGTATGTAGCTGACTCTACCATCGAAAAAATAGTAAGTAGCTGACTCCTGAAATCTCCATGTTCTATGATCTTTTATTATATTTTATTTTCACCTTCCAGATACCATTCAATTGATCTCAATATTAAATTTCTGTTCAGGCATCACAGGCGGTGGGTTGCTGAGAAACTGGGAACTGATGCTACACTTAATGAACTTAATTTCACCAAGAAGATACTGTCTGTTGATGCTAAAAATTACCATGCTTGGTCACACAGGCAGGTTGGTTAAATGTCTGTTATAGGTTTTAGTTAGCAATCTTTCACGTGCTCTTGTCATTTTTTTGTTTTTAATTGAGTAATTTGTTGAGCACCATTTGGTTTACTGCTAAAAGGCAGGGTTTTTCTTTTCTTTTTCTTTTCCTTTTCCAATGTAGTGGGTACTTAAGGCATTAGGAGGCTGGGAAGATGAACTTGATTATTGCCATAGTCTTCTCAGAGAGGATATTTACAATAATTCTGCGTGGAATCAGGTATGGATGCACGGTTACATTACATGCTCCTGCTAATTTGATCTTAACCATATCATGACAGTAGCAATATAGAGCCTATTTTGATTAGGAAAAAGGTACTAATGCCTTAGCTATTTGGCATTGTTTTTATTTGTGACCATTAGTTCTCTTTTGCATTTCCTTCTTACACTTTCTGTTCTGCATTTCCTTGTTTGCTATTGCCATTGTTTCCATTCATGACCATTAGTAGTGTTTTGCATTTCCTTCTTACACTTGCCCTGTTTTGCTTGATTATTGCCTGGTTTATATGTTTTTCATTTTTTGTTGACAGAGATACTTTGTCATAACTATATCTCCCTTCCTGGGAGGCCTTAAAGCCATGAGAGATTCTGAAGTGACATACACTGTTGAAGCCATTCTAGCTAATCCAGAGAATGAGAGCCCATGGAGATACCTTAGAGGGCTTTACAAAGACGATACAGAGGGTTGGGTTAATGATCCTGAAATCCCTTCAGTTTGTTTGAATGTTTTGAGCGCGAAAAGCAACTACATATTTGCTTTGAGCACACTTTTGGATCTACTTTGCAATGGTTTCCAGCCAAGCCAAGAGTTCAGAGATGCCATTGGTGCTCTTGGTACTTCGGACATTAATCAACTGGACTCCAACTTGGCAATAGCAATTTGCTCTATCTTGGAGAAGGTGGATTCTTCAAGAGCTAACTACTGGAGATGGCACAAAAGCAAGCTTCCTTCTGCCCTCTGACGAGAGCTGGAACAGAGTTTGTATTATCTATTTAAGCTGTTGCTTTGTGAACTTGTATAAGTTTAGCTCATGGAATATGGAAGCTAGTGACTTGTTCAAAGAATGTCTATGTAAGCATGAAATATTCTAATTTGGGAAAAAATAACATGAAAGGATTTTTCTTGTTAGAAATGAAGAAACAAGATTTCCTTCACTTAAAATTGGAATCTGCATGATGTCTATGATTCTAGTCCCTTTCACAAGGTATACAAAGTGAAGCCCACTCCCTGACTACACTGCAGACATTTTCTCCGCATTCTGCAGTGGAACAATACAAACCTAAGCTGTTTCAAATTTCAGCTTGCAATCCAATGAATACAAAATGGGCAGAGTGGAAAAGAGAATGATGGTTTCTGGATCAACTCTTTTTCTTGACACCAGACTTCAGCTTGGATGGACTCGACATCTCCTTGAATGCAGATGGGCAAAACTCACTAATGCTGCAGATTTCACACCGTGGTCTCAGTGGGGTACAAATTGTTTGTCCGAATCCCACCTGTTTGAATTCAGAATCAGTCATCAAACTATTCACCGGTTTCATGTTGGTTGCACAACTTGAGAAATAAAAGTTCCATTCAAAAAAAGCACAATCTTTAGATACTCAACGTCAAACAACAGTTTTAGTTCTAATCAAACAATTGAGAGATTTTATAACCTCATCATCTCAAGTAGCTAAAATCTTTGCCAAGATTTCCAGAAATGATTTCCTTATATCAATATGTTTGCAAGCATTAAATAGTTCAGACCTCAAGTGTATTTCAAAATAAACTCACAGGCACATAAAAAGAAAATGTCTTTGACTGTGTGTGCATGTAACATGTAATGCATGTATCTTAAATCCTTTTCTGTATGTGTTGACACACATGCGCAGGTTGGAGTAATGCAGACACATGATTCTGAAAGAAGAAAAATATACCAAAAGGGGATTAATTGGGACCCATTCTTCCTTAGGAAGCCACCGTTGCAATGACTCTCTTGTTTCCTCAGGAGATGAAGTTTTCTAGTAAAGAACAAGATAGTTAGTACCATGTACTAAAAAATGTGTTGTGCTGCCTGTTAGCCATAAACAGCGGAAGGAATGGAAGGAAGCCAATTAAAATCTGCCTATCCCTTTTTATTTGAAACAACTTAAGATTAACAAAATTCATGAAGAGAAAAGCCTCCAGCATTCCAGGGATACAAAAATGGTATTGACCCCAAACTTAACTATGATCATAGCAAAATAAGCCTCCTTTTCTCTTCTTAACTAATGGATAAAAATGAATAAAGAAGGAAAAGGAAAGAGCCAAATAGGTTTTAAAGGTACAACACTACCAAAGATTCTTCACAATAAAATAAATATCTTAGAAAAAGCAACTTCATCCTTCTACTACTCAGCTCAATCCCTTCAAAATTGCTGCCATTTTGTTCTCTAAAGACAGCTTTCAAACATGATAAAACTAAACTCTTATCTTCAGGGATATTTGTTTTTAAGAACTGACTTTGGAGTACATTAAGTTAACCACTGATCTCATAATCACTTAATCAGAAAAGCCACTCCAAACAATGTGAAAAACTAGAGATAATAAAATATGGAATGAACTCCTTTAACAGTACCGAATGTCTTCCTATTACTGGGGTAAAAAGATTGAAGGTACCTGTTTTGTGCCAAGCCGAGATACCCATCCTAGCCGATTGCAAATGCGATGCACATGAGTATCTACACATATCCCTTGAACATCATTCCAACCAACATTCATAACCTGGAGCACCATGAAACCAAAGAATCTTAGAGAAACTATGGTAAACATTTGATCTTCAAAAGTTGAGTAAATAGAACCTACTAAATGAGCCATCTTGGGACCTATCCCTGGTAGTAATAGTAAATCCTCCAATGACCTCGGTATGTCTCCGTCATACTTTGTGAGACAAATTCTTGCAATTTTCTTCATATTACTTGCTTTTCTTGTATAAAATCCAACCTGAAACAAAGAATAGCAGAAAATTCATTATTGCAAACAACATGCCAATAGGTATTTTCCAGGTTTTTTTTTTTTTTGGGGGGGGGGGGGTTGGGGGTGATCAGGTTTTGTCACTAGTGTATGTAAGGTCTACCCTATTGTCACTTTCCAAATGGCTTTAATAGAACATACCGGGTAAATCATGTTCTTGATGGTTATTTCATCTGTTTTATCAATGGCATCAGGAGTAAGTAGACCATTCTGAAGGAGACGCTGAATTGCCCCTACACCCAAAGGAAAGGGCCATTGTTAAAGATCAGCCATTCAAAGAGCCTATGATATAATTCAAAAATATTCCCATCGTCGCATTATGGTATTTTCTTTAAAATTTGATTGAGAGATGTATTTATGGTGCAAGAAATCAGTTTTTACCATGACAGACTTGTGAAATGAACAACCTACAGCAATATAAAATTTTAATGAAAGAAATTTTAATTGCTTCCAAGCAAACTGTTACCATCCTAATTAATATCAGAATTTACCACTGCAGCACTAACTAAACAACTTATTAGTTTTAGACAATTCTGGCATTAATTACTTTTTACAATTAAACAGAGAAGTACAAGAACTTGCCATGAGTAACGTGATCTTTGGTTTGGCTTGATAGAAGCGAAGATATCAAGACCGCAAACCTTCTTTCCTAACAAAAAAAAGTGAAAGATAATGGTAAATCCATGTATAACATATGCATAAAAGAAAAAGGTTCACAAAACTGAAAGACATAAAAAATCCATAGTCTACAATAAAATATTACCATTAAAAAAAAAAAAAAAAAGAACTTGAAGGATATTGAAATTTTAAATTAAGTTTTAGGCATTGGTGAAACAGCAATACCAGATCCCTTGAAAGAGTTATGAAGCTAGTTTGATGTCTAAAACAACACTTGAAGGATATTCCAAACTTCCATGCTGTGAATTACAGTCTGAAGACAAAAATATGGATACAAAGATGCAAAAGAATGCAAAATTTTTAAAAGAAAGACTACACTATTTTGAAACGTTGAATGGGATCCCTCTATAAGGAAAGAACATGTGCTAACAACACCAGTTAAATTATCATCTCCATATATTATTCCTAACTATCACCAGATAAAGGAACTTGTACCTTGGAAGGAAGTATGCTTCCAGCTTTCTCACATCCCATTGTGTCCACAGGTGCATCTTCCGAAGACCTCATTTTTTGGATTCCTTCAAGTACTTTTTCCCAGTTGGCAGGTGGTTTGCCTAGATAATAAAACATACATATATAATCTTTTCTCTTTCACTTTCTATTCAAAGAAAAAGAAAAATTATTTCTGACCATTTAAAGCTTCAACTGTTACCTCCTTCACTAACAGAAGGAACAACATCAGTTCCTATTGCATTGACGTCTGATACAGGTTTTGATATCCCTGAAAGAGGACCTTTTCTTTGAGAAAATGTTCATTCATAACCAAAATTAGCTGCCAGAGCCACATTAGTGCAACTGAAGAACAATGACAATAAAAAAAAACACATGCCTACAAGGGACTCAAACACACATAAATGGTAGCAATTTGTTTGTGATTATGAAACAACTGAAACTGATAGTATGATAGCAATTCACAAGTTGGTTAGCTGCATTTTAAGACCAAACTCCCTTTTCCTTGCAGGGCAGACCAAACTCCTTTAATATTTCACATGGGCGTTGTCAATCTAATGTCTAGCATGCTATACATATGAGAAAACAGTAAGACAACAGAAGTCATACCAGATGCAGGAGTATGCGCATCCAGCTTCTTGAAAGCGAACTCCTCTATGTCAGGAAGGCCACATAGCTACAAAAATACTAAGTGAACCCAACAAATTCCTCTACAAGAAGAATCAACTTACATCCACAATTTAACATGTATAAAAGATTTCATAGCAATAAAGACTCCACCTTTAACAATTAGAAAACAAAACCCATACTTCAGCTCATGGGTTTGTGAGTTGCAATGTTGCTTGAAATAGATAAAACAACTTCCAGCTAAATCAAACAAGAACAAAAGAAACCAAAATAAGAACTTTCTTCTCAAGAAGACAGCATTCTTACATTCTGGTCCCTAGACTCTGCTTCAGGCTGCTCTTCGACTTTAACCACTGCCCCTTTAACTCTCTTTTTCCTCACAAAAACCCGAGTTTCTGGAAACGAAACGCGATTTGTTGATTAAGAACTTGAAATCCGAAATTTGCAATTTTTCTAATTAAATATAGAAAATGAAACAACTTTGAATTTTTTTTAGGTAATTTAGAAATCTGACCTTTATCTGGGTCCGGAGAAGGAAGTTTGGCTTTTGAGGACGATAATCTTGTTTCTGGCATTCTCTTGATTTCCCCTCGTCCAAACCCAAACGCAGCAGCAGAAGGAAGAACAAGTTTAGAAGGGATTCTCGGAAGAAGAAGAGACATGTCAGTGATTTTTGAAGGGCCGAAGTTCGACGGAACAAAGATTTTTTTTTTTTTTTTTTCTGGCATAATGAACAAAAGGCTCCAAAATTTCACCAAATTTGTAATTAAGGTCTCAATATTTTCTTATGTTCAATTAAAGTCCAACTGATCTTCCTAATCCCATATGGGTTGGACTGTTGTAGCCATGTAGGATGGGTGAGGCAGCAAGAAACTATAACCTACAAGTCTGCTATAATTTAGCCCCCCCCCCCAAAAAAAAAGAAGGTTCACTATAGGTAATAGGGGACCCTCTTAATGTTTTGGGATTCATATTTTATAGTTCAAATTATACATTAAAAATACAATCTGTTTTATTAATTTACTAACATAACTTAATGAAACTATTTCTGCCCTATAAAACACTTTTTTGTAATGTTTTATTACATAAAAAAGTATTATGCAGTTCAAACTATATAACATAAAGCATTAGATTGGAGGCTATCTTTCTCATTCAATAATTTCAATTTTATAATATAAACTGCAAAATATGAGACTATTTATTGAATTTATGAATGCTAACGTTGTTGTTCAGACAAAACAATCTGCCATTACCACTTCGCACCCAAAAGTCAGCTATGGTTAAATAGATCAATTACCTATGCCATGTTGCATGTAAAAATAGAGTATCACAAGAGGAAAATAGGAAAACAGTCATGGGATTCATCACAATACATAGCTGATAGCACCACATCTAATAATTGTACAGTAATGGGTTTTCTAATTATAAGACCACATATCTGACACACAGCTTGTAGCATCACTAATATTGCTAGTATTAAGACTGCCATTGCTCCCGTCTACACCTCCAAGTCCAAGTGTTGAATTTCCTGGAACTGTCATCCCTGCATATAAGAAATCATCTTGGCAGACATTGATGGTTGGCAACACATTTGTTCCATGAATATTGTAACAGTTAACCTGTTGTGGTGAAAACAAATTACTTTGAGGATGTTGGGTCAAACTGAAACTTGTGGAGCCTCGAGGAAACATACTTTCAGCTAACTTTATCTGAAATGTATGACAAAATTTCTTAATGTAAATGCACCCTCAAAATGCTGCCTCAAAGCTATTTCAGATAATTGTGCATCAAAATTATATAAGACTGATCAGAAACATTAGTTAGGACAAGGTAGAATATATAGTCATACCTTGGCTCTTAATTCTGCTACCCTGTATCTCCACAGCTGATTGTTTGTGGAAGCATCATGATGCTTTTGAGCAATATCTGAGTACTGATTGTATAAGGAAGCCTTTTCTACTCTCAATTGTCCAACCTTAGAAAATAAGCAACACAAAAGCTTTATAATCCCAAGTATATGGAAATGGAAACGGGATTTTGTGAGGGATTTTGTGAAGGATTTGAAATTTGAAGCACCAGCTTTAGGCATCCTATGATGCCTACGTGCTTGGACGGAGTATTGTTTACCTGCAACTCAAGATCTGCCACATGTGCTTGTCTTTTGATCCTTGATCTTCTGGCAGAGTCCCGGTTAGAATCCCTCCTGGAAGTGGAATCAAAGGAGAAAAATCATGGGGGCCGCGGTTGCACTAAGACCATCTAATAACCATTTAAGTTCATTAGCATACCTTTTCTTTCGTTTTAAATCAATTGGTTCAGTGCTCAGTTCATCAACATCTGATTGCTCAAGGGAGGACACACTAATAGCTCCTTTTGCTTCATTAATATCATTGCTTTTTGGTTTATTAGCAGAATCCGGACTTCCGTATGACAAATTTCCTTGTACAAGTTTTGAATCACAAACTAATTAGGTTTAAATAAACCAAGAAAGAAATTGCTCCAAATAAGGACCAAAGAGGCTAAGATCACATACCACTTGGAGAGTAGGAATCCATGGCGGCAGTAATACTGGAATGGTTGGGAGTGAGGTTTTGTGACCCTAAAAGAGTTCCCCCATCCCCACCACAACTTGAAAAGCCAGTCCTTTCTTCTTCCTGTATTCAGAAGTAAGAAACAAAATATTACGAACAAAACCAATCATTATGATACACCTGACTACCATACTAAAAACATAAAATAAAAAAAGAAGTTCATTACGTAATGCGTGATTAAAGATTCAAGGCATGAAACAAGTTGAATAATTAAAGATTCAATCACCATGTCATAACTCACTTGTTAATTAAATGTTAACCTGAATTGATATTTACATAAAACTTCAAGCAAACCTGGCTGCAACTAGGAATGATGGAGCCATATATAGTAGGACATGGGCAACAGACCAACACCAACTTGACAAAATATTCCACGTCATCATCCCATTGCCATACAGGTCGAAAATAAACAAATATCATGAGGACGTGGCTGATTATTTCATAGTTCCTTCCCTACCATATTATCCCATATATATTATGATAAAAGTAGTTTTTTGCCTTGGATTATATGTACAACAGGTAGCTACTGAACTCTTGTTTGTTTATCCACCTACCATGGCATGCAGCTCAGGACCTCTCTTATGTGGCAGTGGAATATTATCATAACATGCTACTAAATCACAATCAATAAAAATAGTTTCTTTTGCAAATATGTAAAATAGATATTTTGCGAGGCAGTATCCAAATATGTAAACCTTACATAAGATAGTGGTGATATTATATTTAGTAATATATCTCAAATAATCATTGAATTTATGATCTGGTTTCTTTTTTTGGTATGCATTATTGTTTCGTATAAGATAGTGATTAATTAGTTTAGAACATTTACTTGACAAAAATCAATGCTAAAATTAATACATGTATCGGGAGTAGAAGTGAAAGAAAAAGAGACAGACCAGGTTTTCGTTACCGAGCCACCAGACAAGAGCCTCGAAATCCCGGTCCGACGTGCTTTGATTCATGCCAACGTCTGACAACATGCAAGTGCTCTCTGCTGTCCACTCCATCATCATCAATCACGGCTGCCGGTAGACACTACAGCTACTGATATTATCAGCTCAGGAGGAGGAGGAGGAGAAGGGGAAGTTGGACAGCAGACGATGGACTCAATTTAAAGGGAGAAGAAATGAGAGAGGACTAGGACGAATTGTGGGGCATAGGCATACCATTAAGTTTTGACGTGGATTGGAAGCAGCCGTCTGTACTCTGTATCTTCACTTTCCGTTTTTAATGTATGGATTGAACTTTGAATCTCTGAGTAACTCTGTTTACTTTTGTTTTATTTTATTTTATCAATTGAGTCTTTTCGATATTGATGTTCAAGCCTCGCAGTCCGCATTTTATTTAAAAGCAAAGTATAAAGATTTCAAAAGGAGGTAGAACTCTCCCTTGATTTGTAGCAAGGGAAGTTCAATTATTTAAGCAACTGGAGAATTTTTATTTTTTATTTGTTGTATTTATGGTTAAGTGTTTTTAATCAATTTTTACATACCTCAATTTATTTTTAAGTGATTTAAAAAATGCACTCTTATATGTATATAATATATTTAAAAAAATTAATTTTTATAAAATTAACTTTAACATTTTTTAAACTTACAAAATAACATTTATTTATTTATCAATAAATTTAACTCCCCGCCCCAAACCCAAACCCTTGAGGTTAAGCAACTTTGAATTGAAAAGCTACATAATTCTACTTTATCTAATAACACTTTGCATAGTGATGTTTGTGGAGGCAAACTTTTCGGAATTATTGGCTTGAAAAACAAAAGCAGACACAGCACAGCCATTGCAATGAAGGATAAAACAAACAATGTGAAAATTGTGTATGTGAACTTCAATATAAAATTTGTATCTAATTTAAAATTAATTAATAATAAGTGATGTGATCCTTTTTATATTTAATTTACATGAATTTCAATAAAATAAATAAAGTGATTCTTTTTATATTTAATTTACATATTTTTTTTTATTATATACTTAATATAAAATTTTATCACTCAACGAACCAAAAAGGAAAATTGGGAGAAATAAAATTGGGAAAGACATAGACTGCCACCGGCCTTTGACAAAGCTGCAGGAGGAAAGCTGTTTTTACTCCACTTTTCCTTCATTAAAGCAACAATTAAAAGGCCTTGCTTTTTTCGTGTCTGCTTTATTCTTGGACTGCATCATACCTAACTTTTTATGCATATAGCCCCAATTTGACACCACCATCATAAAGTTACTCAAATGTCATTTTAAATTAGTTACTCAGCTCCCTTTGCTTCCATCTTAAGGCAGAGGATAAACTCAAGCTCTTTTCCCCGAGCAGCCCAAAAAAAAAAAAAAAAGAGAGAGGAAAGAGAAGAAGAAGCAGATGGGATTATGGGACGCGTCCACAGGCACATTAATATATTAGATCATTGGGTCCATGAAAATGCAACCAAGGACCCAATAAATGTTTTTAGGTCCAAAAAGAAGCCCACTAAACGTTAATCCATATGACAATGCACGTAGGAATCCTAAAGCCGAACGAGATACGAGATGCATAAATGATTTCAGTACAAATCCAAGTATTGGTCATATGGTAAAATTCAATCAATGTTAAACATCACCAGATAAGTATCTAGCAACTTAACAACCTTAGTGACATGCAAAAGCAACTGAAAAGCAGAAATGGAATTGGAAAACACCTCAAGCCATGATCTTCGCAGACCTAACATAGAGACTGTCCACAACCTTGCCCATGTTCGAAATGGTTTCCAGACTTGCTGAATAGATGGCATCAGTCTTGGAGTCTTCAAATATGACGAGGCATCCAGCTCCCTGATCCAATGTCCCAGCAAACTTTTTATCCAGAATCATCTGAGACAGCTTTTTCTCCACATGATCAATTCGCAGTTCAATCAGCTCAGCAATATGTGAAATCTCAACCCTAGAGAATGGTTCAATCAACCTGCATAAGTTCTGCTCTAGAAGAGTGTCATAGAGAGATGACAGGTGCCTGTGGACTATAGGGTCTTCCTCCAGCTGGGGCTTAAAATCACGCAGGGCAATCTCAAACAACTTCAAAGATCGCTTTGAATGAGCATCAGCAACAGCTTTCATAGCATCCAATTCTGGCCCCAAGTATTGCAGGCCTGCCTTGGATGAAATTATCCCAGCCACATCATCAGCTTGATTCACCATAATTTTGCACAGTAGCATGTATTTGAGACTAAAAACGGCCCTGGGATCCTCAAGAGCATTGAAAGACTCAAATGCTTCAAAGAAATAGCTGTAAGCAGTTTTGTAATCCTTCTCTTCAGCATGAAGGATGCCACTTTGCAAGTCAATGGTGCCCTGCTGAGCAGGAGGCACATATATGGCATTTGCAGCTGTCCTCGCAGCAGTAAGGGCAGCTTTTGCCTTTGGAAGGTTTCTCAATGAGAAATGCAGCTTACTCTCTAGCAAGTCTATGTCCACAAGAAGTAGCTTGTCATCCAATCTCCTCACCTCTTTGACCAAGCCTGTCAGAAGAGTCAGAGCTTCTGAATACTCCTTGTTTTCCATCAAAAGGGCTGCAAGCCTTGCCTCGATACGCTGCCTGAGAAACGTACGCTTTTCCTCACGAGCCCATTGTGCTGTTTCTTTGCAGAGGGCAATTTGGAGATCAGATGTCCCAGGTATTTTAGCAACACAATCAACAATTCCCTTGACGATTTTGGCTGTTTTAGCCTTGGGGATAAGGGAGAAGAAGGGTCTCAACTGAGTAAGCAGTGTGCGAAGATCCTCAGCCTTGTTCTCTTGCCTGAGAAGGTCAGAGAGGTTAGTGATTGCCTGTTCTTTGATCCTCAGAGCTTCTGGTGAAGATGAAGGATTGTCGAGAACCCGGTACAGTATAGAAATGGCTTCATTTGGGTTTTTAGCTTCTAAAGCCTCAGCAATAGAATCTGTTGTAGCAGGAAGATATGACGAAGACATGGTAATTGCTGCGACTGCAGAAGAAAATCAAACCCTGCAATACAAAAGTACCAGATTCATTGAATTTAATAGTTGGATGTGTAGAACACTTCCAGACGGTTTACAGGACCAGCTAACACATGATAAAACTCAATGTCCTAAAGCCAGTAGTAAGTAAATTTAATAGCTGGATGCAGAGGACGGGCACCCAGTGATCCATCTTTAAGGCAAATCAAGGTAATAAAAATACAAAGATGTGCTCAGCTTGATCCTTTATGCCAAACATGAGTCAACAAAGTCATAAATAAATACAGGCAAAAACTAAGAAACAAAGAAACTCCTATTGGACATTATACGGTTACCTTTTATGAAATTTTCTCTCAATTTTCTTAAACAACAATTTTCTGCATATGAAGAACCAAACTCAATTCAATGTTCGACAAACAGGAGCAAAACTTTGCACCACCTCAATTGAAATTGAGCATAAACTAAAAAAATTCTAAATCAGACCAAAGGATAAAGCGAAGAATTAAGAAATGCAAACAGTCGAGAAACCCTAGATTCAGAAGCACGTCTACAGTTCGAAGATCCAGAAACTTTAACGAGAAATTAATACTGAAGAAACCCTAGTCACTTTCCCTCGAACCAAACAAGAAATCACAGATACAATGGAAAAAATCTTAACAAAATTCGAAAAAAAAAGAAAGAAACTTTAACGTACCTTGTTGAACAAGAAGAAAATCGGAGCTTCAACACACCACGCCGGAGAAAGTCGAGATCTTTGAACAAGGCAAAAGTGAACTGGCTTCCCCACGTCTCGGATCTTTTATGGACTATATGATATATATATCCTGGGTCTAGCTTTTTATTGTGGACTAACCAACCCATTAACCAAATTTTACAGGTTGGAGGCCCTGACCCATTTGTTTGATTTGGGAAAAGATGAATATTGAAATAGAGCCCACTTTAAAATTTCTCTTCGGGTCAATGAGAATAACCAATTTAAAATGTTTTTCATCCATGAACCCAAATTCATTTTCCTAACTTTTTTTTTTTTTCTCTCTTTTATGGTACTGTCATGAATTGGAAAATGACTCATAAATCCACAATATTGATCAAACGAATATGACAAAGGATTTTCGATGGGCCAAGCTCAAATAATTCGCAAGTGATTTGACTCATTTCAAAGTTCATAAAGTAAGATGTAAAGTAGAATCATTTTTTAAAAAGAATAATTTTATCATTTGTACTCTTCTTTTTTATTAACCAGGAAAAAAAAAAAAGGGTTGCCTTGTAGGCTAGGGTTCAAGTCTTGCAGAGAGCACATAAGAAAATTAATTTTTTTAAATGTATCAAGTTGATTCAGGAGTGCACCTTAAAATTATTTGGTGTTTATATGTGTATGGAAAAAATCTCATATAAGAAGTGAAGAGTGAAAAGTAAATAATTTATATATGTAAAAATCTATGAATTTAATAAGTTAGTCTTTTATGTTCAACATGATGTTTTCACATATTGAGCCCTTACTTGAGTGTTGTTATCAACTCAGTTACTTAGCCAACAACGTGAGTAATGCCTTGGACTCCTAATAGTGATATCATAGCTGAAGGTTTAAACTTTGGGCAATTGTGGTGGGCTTGATAACATGAGAGTATTGAGTGCCTCCACTCTTCTTAGGTATTGAAAGGTAAACAATTCGCCCACCTAATTCTAGTGTTGAGATGAGTGTGTACCTTAAGTAATTGCATATGAGAGAGGAGGGTGTCAAGATGTGAGGATTCCTCCACTTGAAGATAGTGCACGAACCTAAGAATGGATGGTGTTACTTTCACAACTCTCATGAGGAGCTGTGTAGATCTTAAGCAAGTGCAAAGGTGTCCTCCCTTCGCCTACAAAGGTGCACTAGCATGAGATGTTTAAGACTCATCACAAGTAAACAGGGAGATTGTTGGGTGTTCCCATGTAAGTAAAGAGAATCCCATATAGGAAGTGGAGTGAAAAGCAAGTGGTTTGTGGTTTATATATATGGAAACTCATGAATGAATGTAATAATAAGTTAGTCTCTTAGGTTTAAGATAGTGTTTTCACATTTTGGATTAGGTTGCTTAGCCTAATAATATGAGTAGTGAACTGGACTCCAAAAAAAAAAAAAAAAACTCTTTTATTAATGCTAAATAGTCATTTATTAAAAAAAAAAATGAAGTTCATATCAATAATGAGGGACGAAAGAACTATTAATTCCGCCTATTATGAAAACAAATTATCAGTTGTTGCGTAGGGATTAGTAATTCATGCGCTAAAAGTGAAGAGCATTTTGGTTTCATAATCACAAAAAGGAGTATGGCATTACTTCAATTATTAATATTAAAGAAAGAAAGTCGTCTTATATATAGACATAGTGCTAAATGACGCTGCTTTGCATGAATGCGACAAGTCATACGCTCGATACAAAGCCATTGCTTTCATTTGCACAATTTTTAATGGTTGCACCACTAAATAAAAAATCTAGATTGTACAGCACCGGCACCATGGTGGCAAAGCAGAGGAAGACCAACAACGGTCCAAAAACCCAGAGGAGAAGAGGCAGAGCTGAGTAGAAAAGCCGGTTGCCCACTGCGTTGAGGAGGAATCCCTTTTCTAGGAGCTCACTGACATACTCTGGGGTGATGATGAAGAGGGGATCGGGCGGAGTGTTGATGAGGAGATTGGCTTGGTTTACGAAGCGGATGGAGAGGGAGTGGCAGAAGAAAGAGAAGAGGAAAATGCAGAGCATGGTAACGTACTTAAGTGCCACCATGAATTCACCGTGAGCACCAAACACCGAATCGTTAAGTGGCCTCTTGACGCTGTAAGTGCTGCTGAGGATGGCAGCCAGACCGGTACACAAGAGAACTGAGGTGGTGGCCATGAGTGTCGATCCCATGATCACGTTTCGTAACGATTGGACAGCCAGTATGTTCTTCTTGTCATTATCCTGTAATGAAAAGCTCAACTACTCAGTCCCTATTAATCACAAATTTATTAAAAAGAAATACAGAAACGTGTCCAAAACAATGATTATGATAAGAGAGGCTTCTGACTGCATGCCTTTCAATCTTTTTTTTTATAGTCCGATCTAATTTGAACATCGACATAAGAAGAAGAGTTTTTAGAATTTTGAAATAGATAAAAAGTAAAGACCTTCATAATGGCCGAGACCCAGAAGCGTCGCGCTGTGGAATTAGTTCCGATGATGGTTGAGAGAGGTTGAGATCGGACCTTATACCACAACCAGCAGTGGTAAGCTATGGACATGAGCATCCCTAGAGGCACTAGAATGATATCCAGATAGCATTCTCTCCACTCCATTCTTTCTGGCTACTGAATTCGAGGGTTTGTATGGGGACTCTTGTTGCAGGGAGTAGTCACGAGTATTGTGCTGGAGAAAGGTTTATATAGGCCAATGAGATTTTGGTAACGTATTGATTTCTTTAACAATGAATGAATTTGGACATGTTTGGCAACTCTATTCCATCTTACTTTCTGAAAAAAAGTTATGAGATAAATAAACAGTTTGAGTAAAAGAAATTCAATTTTTCTTAATTAAAATCTCAAGTTTGAGTCTCCTAAACGGATAAACAAACATAGTAAGAGCTTCTTCCCATACGAGGTCTGACTCAACTTAACTTCAGGTTAGTTAAGATTCAATGTGATTTTTAGATACGAAAGGGATTAATTTAAAAAAAAAAAAAACAGGTTGTGACAGTCACATAAGCCATAATTAACCCCACTTTAGTTTTTAGCTATTTTGCCTTTACTTATATATATATATATATATATATATATATATAAAACCCACTTCCCTTGCAATATGTCCTATCCTTTTCCTTGTATAAGCTCTTTTTTTTTGGGGGTCAAAATTAAAGACTAATCCGTTTAAAACTTTTACTGCCCCTTAATAGAAGGTTTACACCAAAGCATGACGCTGCTAATCCTTTGTAATCCATGTACAAGTTTTGTTTGTAATTAGCTACCTATCTACAAAAAATAAGAAGTCGCCTTACTACTACCAGTAAGCAACCGATATCAAAGACAGTTGTAACACTTTGGTGGGAAATTATGGAATTCAAAGAGCTTGTGAAAGCATAAGAATGAGATCTTTGTCAACTACCATTTAATTATTAACTTATTTTATTATATTACTAAATTTAATGATATTATATGTATATATTTATTTAAAAATATATTAAAATTATAAATAAAAGTTGTATAAATAATTGTCTCTATATTATTACATACCCAACATCTATTTAGTATAATATGAACCTAAATTTATATGGACTACCATTTCCAACATATATACAAATAAATCTAAAATTGGGAATTACCATTTTCCAAACATGGTCATAATACAATTCTGTTGGTCCCAAAAAGTTGGGGTTACTAGGGGAATCATCCGAGGCAGGCTATAACCATTAAGGCTCACAAATTGCAAGCTAAAGATAATTCTTTATGGTTTTCCCCCTTTCCTTGGGATATGATTATAACCTATTATGGTTAAGATATAACAAGTGGCAGATTGTATATTGCGTTCAACTTTAAAACTATGTCCCCTTGATCATGCGTATGTCTTCCAAAATCAAAACACAGTTTTTACATTGATGTGAAATTGAATTCCGTCTTACTGCTAATGTGTGAAAGATAAAAATATTAAGGTAATTAAAAGAAAAGGAGATAGAAAGTGGGTGTACTTGAGGAGAGTCAAAGTAGAAATTAGGAGAGTGAAAATCTGACTAGGCGCAGATAGAAAGAAAATTTAAACCGATCAGAAAAGAAAATGGAAAATAGGTATGCAATTGCAATTGCACGCCCCTTTCGTGACTCATAAGCTTGAATTTGCGTCTACTAGCATCTTATCTTTTTAATGGGAAGACAGTGATATACACGTCTACGTATTTCACTTTTGGTACTTGGACGTTGGTTGGTTTTTATAAAGAATATGCTCAGTTTGTTCCCTATGAGGATGTGGTGGAATGGATTAATGGATGATCAGAACACTGTTTTGATTGATTCGCTTTTAATATATAGTAGTGGCACGAGGTTCAGTAGCACTTTAGCAGGCATCTTAGCCACTTGTGCTGTAGGAGAATTCATCAGTCTCTTTCCATTAGGAGTTATTCTCATATCTTCTGAATCAGATTCATCAAAATTCACACTCATGTCAATATATATGGATCGTATCTAAGACAAAATACAAATATCTAGCTAAATGCTATCTAATCTATGTTACATTCATTCCTGGCAAAGAACCGGCTGCGAAATTCTGGCAAATATATATTCTAGAAAATCTGTTAAAACAATATTAGAATCTGGTGATTCGCGAATACAACCTGAAATATTACACGAATCTTATTCATTACAAGAATATTAGCAACATATAGATAGATACAAGCTGAGGAAGAAGAAATGTACCTGGTATGCTTTTGATGATCAACTTATTAGGTTTAGTATCCATCAGTGGGAATTTGGGAGCTAATTAACAAATAACCTAGCCAAAAGCAAAGTTAAATAATCTTTGTTATATCAATAACACATTATTTTGAGTAAAAAAAGTTTAGTTTCTTTTGAGTAAAATTTCTTTTCTAATTTGAATATTGTAAATAAATAAAAAATATTGACAAAGTTGTTTTTTAATAAAATCTAACTTAACTTGATTTTAAATTATTCAGTATTCAATATGACTTTTAGATATTATAGAATTTAATAAAAAAAATTATCTTTATTATTAATTTCAAGTAACATATGTGCGTACATATGCAATTCATAGTGGGGAAGAAAAGATCATCTAAGACTTTATTTGTTAGTGTTTTATTCATATTTTTTCATAAAGAACTTTATTTAATTATTTTTTTATATTTTTATTAATTTTAATTAATATATTATATATTTTTTAAATAACAAATTATAAATCACTACAATACAACACTGAAAAATGAAGTTTAAGTTGCTATATAATAAAAAAAAAGGTTAAACCTTCAATTTGGTCCCTAAACTAAAAAAATATTTGATTTGGTCTCTAAACTATTATACAGATCCTTCCGTACAAAAAGTAGCTGATGAGTCTGTTATTTAATGACGAAAAATAATAACTTAATAATAAAAATAGTAATTTAACAGTCACATGTTATGTTAATAATAAGATACATCAATTGGTTTTTGTACGAAAATACCAACTTAAGATAAATTGATAAATAGTAAAAACCAAATCAAGGGTCCATACAATAGTTTAAGGACCAAATTAAGGATTTTTTTAGTTCTCAGGCCAAATTAAAGGATTGTACAATAGTTCAAGAACCAAATTAAAAATTCAACCTAAAAAAAAAAAGCCATGCATGATTAGGTGTATAAGAGGACAAAAAAGAATTCAAAAGTGAGCGCAAACAAAAGCTTCTTATCCTGCTAATAATAATAGTGTTATAATATGACCCTTCCCAGAACTGCCTAGTCCAATCGGAAATACAATAATGGAGGGGGGTCGGTCATTAAGTGGGTGACAACTACTAAAGAATAACCTTTTGTGTTGATGAGGAAATGAGATCCACATAGGACCATAATTGAGTAGTTAGCGCTTGTGATGCAATTTTCAAATTTACCTAACTGAGACCCAACACAGATGTCAACCTTCCCCCCAAAACCTGAAAGTTGACATAACTCAGTGCTGACTGCTGAATGTCTCTGCCTATTGCCTACCCTCTCTCCCAAAGACATCAGATCATATAACTACCACTCTCATCGTATTTCAACAGTCATAAATGAGAGAGGGCAATATTGCAAGGAAATAGTATATTTTTAATATAGACTCTTTTTTTTTTAGTTTTAATATTAAAATTACTAAAACATGGTTGATAAATAAGTATGAAGGCACCTGGCCCTTGCGACTTAGTGGCAATAGTCACCTCGGTGCATTTCCCCCTCCCCGGGCTGGGTTCGAAACCCACCCCTTGCAAATATGTTCAAAAAATAATAATAATAATAAGTATGAAGAGAATTTTTATTAAAAATGTTCTAATAATTTGAGTATGAGTTCTGTACTTTTTTTTGTGTAGTTTTGTATTGAAAAAAACATTTATGATTCCAAATGCAATTTACATGTTAGCACTTAGCAGTGTAGCACTAGCAGCATTTAAGGAAACCGAAAGACTGATGGCAATATGCTGAATTTGCACGTTACGTGCATATAAGTTCCAGCCCAACTATATGGTTAGGGGTGGGCAAAACCGGTTTTGGTTAAAATCAAAATCGGTTTTAAAATAACCAAAATTTGTTTCTTTAGTTTTGAGAATCAAAATCGAATCGAAATTTTTACAAAACTTATCGATTTGGTTATCAATAAAATCAATTAGGTTTTGGTTTTTAATAAATAAATATTAATCAATTATTTTTTTAATAATAAATTATATTTTATCACATATTTTATCATATTTTGTCATATTTATCTTATTTTTGGTTTTCAAGGGACTTAAGTTTGTTTTTTGATTTTTAAAAAACTCAACCAAAATCAAACCAAAATTTATTCGGTTAACATCAAAACCAAAAAAATAAAAATAAAAAACTATTAAAACCAAACCAAATTTATTTTTTCAATTTGATTCTTAAGTAACCCATCGGTTCGGTTTTAAATGCCCAGCACTATATATGGTAAAAACTCCTATTGGTAATGTATACTCAACTTTAGTCCAGATAAAATAGTTACAAATATGCAGATACAACACAAAAACATAAGTATTGTAATATAATCCACGTGGAGCAGATTGCATTATTTTTAACTATTGTTAGAGAGATGGATCTTTGTTAATGATCTAAATATTTCAATCGTTATCTCTTTTCGTTGAAAATAAAAGATCTTAAATTCGAGTTACATAACATACAAGTCAGATGAGATAAGGGATAAGAGATGATTGCCTCTCATTATGCAACAACAAAAAAAAAAAGATGGATTTTCAATATTAAAAGGAAATAGTATCTATCAACATTACCTCTAAAGATTAAGAGGAAAATCATCATAAAACTATGTGGTTTCAATAAATTTTTATTAAAAAAGACTAAACTATTATATTTTTAAAGTATGCATTAAGGTAATTTTTGTCTTTTTTTTTTCTTAATTTTTTGGAAGTAAAGTGAACAAACACTAACTTCATATTAAAAAGTTATTATCAATAATTATAAAAAATATAGTTCACAAGATAAACTGTGCTTTAATTTTTTAAAAACATAAATACTTGTTAACAACATAACACAAACAAACTAAGAAATTCTGGATGTCCAAAACTAGGATTAGTCATAGCTTTCCAAATTGTAACCAAGGAACCGATCATCCAATTCGATTTGCTTGACAGAAATTGGCACCGTAGTCGTTTGAATTGGAATTTTCAAAAGCCTATATCTATCTACATCATTTGTACATCAGCATGAAATTTATAAACCTCAAATGTAAACTCATCAGCTGCTAATATACCTCAATGATTGCTACAAGATGAAATTTACAAGGAAAAGAGAGTATTTTCAAGTTCAAACAGGACTTTCAAGTCTCAAACAAGAACACCTTTCGCAACTCTAACATACCCAGATTCAAATCTTAATTCTACATCTTCAAATTTCTGGTCAACTACCATTTGGAGGACATCAAATAGCGAAAAGATATCAAATGAGAGCATATGATTTTGAACAATCCTGTGGTGGGCAGCAACAACAAAAAATTCTTCCTGTAAATTGCAAGAAAAGACACAATTAGATTAGAAAGATTACATCACATTATGAGATACATGAGGCAAGTTAACATGTATACCTTTTTGAAGCCATGTGCAGCTTTGCCATAAGCTAAGATAAAAGAGGGATAATCCACATAGAGACGGATGTTTGTACTCAACCAATTTTCTGTTTCTTCCTGAAAATAAACAAGAAAAACACTATTTGCTTTTAAAACTGGTGTAACATGATGAGACAGTTATGATAGCAGATATATACTAGACACACCCAAAAATAAACCAAGAAAATTCAAAGATTACAGGAACAAGAGTCCTGAATTAACACCCAGAATCTGAAGTAAAAAAAAAAAAACCCTCACTATTTTATTAATTTCCATTCAAGAAACAACAAATTTGAGAAAAGAAAATTTACAGGATCTAATTCAAACTCAAGAACTATAAAGAAGAGTATTAATATTGGATTAAAAGAATGATTTCTCCAGAAATAATATAAAGAAATGCATCATAGTTGAATAGAAGATAGGACTTACCACCACGTTCCCTTGTGCTCCAGTCCAATGACTAAAAAACTCTAGGCCAGATTCTGTTATAAATAAATATTACTACTGTCATAAGTCTTATTTTGTGCCCACATATTGTAGTTCATAATACAGTCCTGGTTGGATAGGAACCCAACCAGCACTATACAATAAAGAATTTCTCTTTTTTATTCTATATTATTTTAATTTCCTCCAAAATTTTATATAAAACTTTACAATATCACTCATTTTTTTTTATGTAAATGTAAAATTTCCTTCATCATCTGTCCCACAAAATGCACTGTATATAAATTCAATAGTGGAAAAGAATATGAAAAACTTATATGAAGTATAAGCTAACATATATTTGTTAGAATCATGCAACATCAACCAACATTAATTCTAAAATCCTGTAAGCCACTTATAAAATCACACAAATCATGCATTACACTCATCTCTTATGAGAAATATAAAACCATCTTTGTATGAATGTAGATGGCCAAAACACTCAATTCGCCAACTGCATGAATGCAAACACTCAATTATAAAGTACACAAATCATGTATTACACTCAATTTGCCAACTGCATGAATGCAAACACTCAATTCTCAACTTCTTCTTGTTATTACTATTATATTGTCTAAATTTTAAGTTATCAATTCAAAATTACAATCTGTAAGTGTGATTTTGCTGGCACAACTTGTATGTTAGAATATGTTTCGGTGAGTTTTCTTATTCCAGCATTCAAAATTACAAAACTGCTTTCACTGACTTGTCTGTATGTCCTATACTTCCAGAAAGAAATCATATTGTTTTTAGATGATGATGTTGTGATTTTCTCAAATGAAATCCTGTAATCAGAGTAACATTAATACACAAACAAAAGAATGCTGAATTGTTTCAAATGTATGAGAAACAATGGTCCAATATTACAGTTGACTTAATTAAAGCACAACAACTTCCATTTCTAGAGAGGAACATTCTATGTTAATAATACATCAAGAAGAACTTCCACACAACAAGATTTGTCTCCTCAGAAATTTCGCTTTGCCAAACATTTACAGCTATTCTTCTTCTGTGTTAGTTAGCAGGCTAGCTAAGGAAACCAAAGACTAAAGACAATATGCAGAATTTGTACATATACGTTCCAGCCCAACTATTTTTAATGGACATTCAAAAATCCATTGTTAATCTGATTGGGATACATAGCTTAGAGAAACTAGTTATGGAATGCAAAGACTATTCTTCTTCTGTGTAGACTAACGTTTTATGCTGTTAACTGATGATATGGGACTATAAAGTCTTAATCAGAACATGCTTTTCTTGTATTAGATACATTTAAGCATCTCTATGAATGAAATGAATATATGATAACAAGGTGATTATTGCATAGTGAACATGTTACTAGTTAAAAATCGAAAAGCTGGCCTACCTCCTACCTAAAAGACATGCAACTCCATAATTTATATTTAGAAATTGAAGTTAGTAACATCAGTTATGAGAAGGCATGATGGAAACTAACTACCCTCAACCCAACAGATTTATGTGTGTTGTAGAAGACAGCTATGTAAGAAGCAAATGATGAAGCTTCATCTATGTGTATTCGCTGGCTCAATCATTGATCTAACTACTAATGATGCAGAGCTCCTTTTCCACGAAGAAGTGATTATTATTATATCAGCTTCTCAGAATGTACGTAGAGTATGAGGTCTAGAAAACAAGTAAAGAACCCAATGAATGATTAATCATTTATGGGATAGTCCTACACATAAAAAATAAGTAGAAAGCAGTGGAACTCAAGCAAATAATTGGGTCTAAAAGATGTTGTATTATGCAATGCATGCTGGCCATTAAGAGAAGATGAGTGTGCACATGCCTGCAACAGAAATAAAGCAAAATGCAATTATGAAAAACATAGTAATATTATTAGATTAAGAATTCCTGAAATCAGATCATTAATAGCATGTGAAGCAGTGAATGAGAGTGCAGATCATGTTGTGCTTACGATTCAAGCATTTTGCAAACCATTTATAATCCTAATCATGTGACTTGGAATGATGATTCAGAGTGACTTACTGAATCGATGCACTTCTTCAGCAACCCTCACATGAGCCTTCCATTTTATAAGCAAATATGGATGCCTGCAACCATCTCCATCTGCATTACTGAAATCAATGAAATTAGTTTATAAATACCCTCCCCCAATTAAGGAAAAAGGTCAAAAATCCTAATTCCTATGCTATTTACCTGAAATTCTGCTGGAAGACAATTTCAATCCTCTTCTTTGAATTGCAACTGCCAACATAGGGCAGCGCACTGATGGTTTTCTGCCTTCTTTCTATATATAAAATGTTATCTTACCAACTGCCAACATGGGGCAAAGCACCAACGAAGTTGAACTCTCGGTCATTGGGGTATTATTATCAACCTTTCCCATTCACGTGGGCTTCTCTTGGGTCTAAGGTCTTCACTCCCCTGATCATGGCTAATTCAAACCTTGATAAACTAAACAAGTTTATGTATGGTACAATTCAACCGTACCATTGGTATTCACACTCACAGCGAATCTCACTCCAAAAATTAAATAAACCCTTAAAAGTACAAATAACAGAACTCCCCAGAATCTTAGTTCAACTCATTTTTCATTAAGATACACAAACCCCACTTCTCCACTTGTCTGAACACATTAAAATATCAAAGGGGGAGACCTCAAATCTGTAAGAGCTGCACAAAAACCAGAGAGCCAGCTCTTCTATTTATGTAACTTACTCATCTACTCCACGGAAAACCAAACTTCTTTGACTGTTACTTGAATCATAAAATATAAAGTAACTACAGAACTTCTTAACATATTATATTCCCTTCAACAAAAAATGAACACTGAATTTCCACAATTCAGAATCCCTTTGTGGCCCATGACCTCTATAAATAGGAAGGACCTTTTACCTGTATGAAGCACAATCTGCAAGAAATCATTGAGAAGGTAACCTGAGAAGTGCTGCATCTTCTAGTCATGGAGGCCAAGATGTCTAACAAGATCAGAGAAGTTGTTAGACTCCAACAAATCTTGAAGAAGTGGAGAATGCTCGCAACTGCATCAAAGTCCAATGGCAGCAGCAACACAAGCAGTCGCGGCAAGAGCATCAAGTTCCTCAAAAGGACACTCTCATTGTCAGATAACTCTGTCAGGGACGCATCAGGCAATACCATTCGGAAGGGATACCTGGCTGTTAGCGTTGGAGAAGAGCAAAAGAGATTTACAATACCCACAGAATATTTGAGCCATCAAGCATTTCACATTTTATTAAGAGAAGCAGAAGAGGAATTCGGGTTCCAGCAAACAGGTATTTTGAGGATTCCTTGTGAGGTGCCCGTGTTTGAGAGTATCTTGAAGATGGTCGAGGAAAAGAAAGACAAGTTATTCTTTCAGGAATGCAGGTTTAACATGGATGACATCATGAGATATTGCTCCCCAGAAAGCCAGTGGACTCCATCTCACCATCCTCAAAGCCCAATGCGCAGATAGTTCCTAGAATCCCTCAACACTTCTGTTTTTCTTTGTTCTTTTTGCTCTTCTTTTATTCGGCCATGTAAGGAAGAGAGAAAAGAAGGGGTGTGAAGGGAAGAGACATCAAATAAGACTTAGAGTGTATGAGCATCATTCGAGGTGAAAGAGTGATACAGAGCAACTTTAATAACCTCTCCCCCTTTCTCAACTCGCGCCCCCCCCAAACCAAACACACACACAATGTGCTTTGTCTTTCTGTTTACAATTGACACCAAAAGTTGGCCGAGGACCATCTTAATTGCTGTTGATAACATCTTTACAGTTTCCTAGCTAAGTGCTTCCTGTCATCACATAATCATGGCAATTTTGTGCATAAAGGTACTCCAAATTGCTCTTACATGAAATCAACCAAGGGACAGGATGGGACTGGGACATGTTAACAGTAGAGCCTGAAGCATAACTAAACCTGGCAGGTTCTAATCCTCCGGTGGTTGGAGCTTGTTCAGAGAAACAGAGAAAGGGGGTAACAACAAACAAAGCCAGTTCCTTGAGAATTTCGCCATACCATGAATATTCCTAGAGGCAATGCATCAGTTTGAAGCAACTAGCATGTGTCAGAGGGAATAGGACTCTTTTACTCTTCCAATTTCCAATGACTCAAGAAACACCTATTGCCATTGTGCAAGTAGCATCTAACTTTCTCTCCCTGAACCAATGAAACTAATCACCTATTCACAGCCTTATGCAAGGTTCAAGGGTTGGATGGTAATAAACATCTAGAACGGATGGCCCAAAAATAAATTTAAAAAAAAAATAATCTAGAACTAAATCTATAGTTAATCATCACAGATCTAGAAGCTGCAGACCAGATAACGTATGTACTCTTATACTAGAGAGAGCAAAACAACAAAATTAGTAGTGGGGTATGGAACACTAGCAACCAATAGTAACATGGAAGTACCAGATTCGGAAATTGCCGATTAAATTTAGGTTTAAATTCTGAATCACTAAATTTTGATGTCAATGTCAATACCAATAAAGCATGATGCAAAGACCATAAATTGAAAACAACAGTTCAGTAATGAGCTTAAGGCACAACAACTATAGAAGTAAAAATTTATAATTAATTTGAGTCTGGAAACTACGTTTCTCAATCTGATTCAGGAAGTAAAAACTCTTTCTAAGATGCAAGATATTCTACCACCTAAAGAATATATGACCTAAACAAATTACAGGGAAATAAATTAATAAGTTCTTTTCTGAGAATTAATCAGTAGCCTTTATAATATTTGTTAGATGTCATTTTTTTTTCTTCTCCAGATCGAATGTACAGCTCACAAGATCTTCAACAACGTAAGGGTACCAACATGATGAGGTTCTCAATCTGGAGCCTTGGTAAGATAGTGAGACTCAGTTGCAATTACTATACGGATTACAGCTACGGATTGTCATACTCTAAATGCATCTGAGTATCAACAATATTTTACAGCCATCAAAACTAGGACTTGTCAGAGCAATATGCAAGCAGTATCCTATGTGCCAAATTGCAGAAATAATTGTTTTAAAGTTATCATGATGCATTTAAATAAATAATGGCAATTAGCTCCAAGATGAAGTAAACTATAGGCTTTAAAAACGATGCTTCCAATCAGATTGCTATGATTAAATTCACATGCATCCATTAATTTCAGACTCAAGGAACAACAGCTATATGTTAACGGTGACTCAGCAACCCATTTTTTTAAAACCACCAATTGAACCATTAACACAAGATTTTGTGCAGTATTATGAGTTGAAGTCAAAATGCCATAGTAAGATCCTCCAGATCAGAAACCTACAGGAAGACTGACATAACAACGTAACGTTCTGTTTAATCGCAATGAAAGACCAAGTAGCAGAAGTGTAAATGTCACATAACATTAATTATTGAATTTGCATTAATTTTGAAAATATACCTAAAGTTGGACTAGATGTATTTCTGCTTCACCAGACTTTTGCCATGGCAGTATGATGCAACAGCATAACATCATGAACATGTGTGCCATATAAGTGCAGTAGACAAAACCAGGGATGAAGAGGGACCATGTACTAGAAACTTATAATTTGGGTTTTCAAAATTTTGTATATTCATAGGTTCAAAATAGGGTCATGCAACCTCAACAGCTATATGAGAATCTATCAGAATCTGACTAAATTTCATTTTCTTGTTATCAGAGAATCATATACAAATGGTTCCAAAACAGGGAAGTTAACCCTCTTTCCAGGCTAGCACTCAAGTTCTGCTGCATAAAAGCAAATGTAGACTGATAACTGCTGAAGCTTCTAATAAAGAAACAAAGATCACAATGCCGTTCATGTTAAAACATTTGAGAGGGAAAACAAGTGAGTACTCCCAAAGTGGGTGAGAAACAGTCTTTCATTCAAGAAGTTTTAAGAAATGATTCTCTTCCAGGCCATGGACTTTAGAATGACACATTGGACCTAAGCAACACACTAAGAAAAGGATCTATGCCAACTAAACCCAGCCCACTTTCAAAAACTTTGTAATATCACATTATATATAATTGGAAAAGAACCACTAAACTCATTTTTTTGTAGTTTTTTCACTTCCACTGACAGAGAAATACAGCAAGCAAAGTAGCAAACAGTCAATTAGATAATATACATGAAAGAATAACACTGAGCATCAAGCCAAAACCAGGTCTGAAGAAGATAACAACCAATTTCATTGCTCATAAAATGCAATTACATAGATGCCTCCCAAAGAATTTCTTCTGGAGGGTTGCAAAATTACAAAGAAGGAAAAGAAAAAACCTGAATGCAACATCCTCCAGAGAATTAAGAAGTCCAGGAGCATGCAGCCTTATGCAAAACTAAAACAGCAAGCTCAGAATGATAGCTCCTCACCATCACTATAATCCGGGAAAGTGACACATTTGAACACTTTGCAGCTTGAACACAACACATAACCAATCTGCAAATAACAGAATGATTTGAGTTACTGGTTTCACCTGAATTCAAGAGATAGATCCACAATAACACATATTTATGTAAGGAACAGCAACGTTGAAAGAAATTGTTAATACTGGACCCTACAAAGATCTAGCAAAAGAGAAGCTAGAACCACTGAGTAAAACAGCTGTGAACAATTTATAAGAATTAACAAGCTATTAGTGGTATATAATCTCGGGCATTAAAGCTGGTCAGTGGATTACTCACCGCTCTACAAGATGGACATCTGCGATAGATCCTGTTGTTCTCAGCTTTGATATTGGTTTTTTTCCCTTTACAGTAATCACAAACTAACCATCCCCTACCATTGCAAGGTTCACAAAGGATCCCTGCATCAACCTTGTACACAACAATAAAGCCATTATTAAAACAAAATGATCCGAATACTCTAATTAACCAAATCAAACTTTCAAGGACTCTAATCATAAACGCTTCAAATAATTTCAGAATACTAAATACAAAACACTATCTACTTTAACCATTAAACATTTCTAATTGGTAAACACATGGTTTTAGGTAAAATTCCAGATATAATACTTTTCTAATTTATAGCCAAATACAAAATTCAGGGTGGCCCGGAAGTTACAAGGAATCACCTCCTGTTGCACTTGCTGGAGAGGCGTGCAACGCACAGATTTAAAGAAACTCCCCGTTCTTGACGGTGCCGGCTGCGAAATTCTTAAAAAACCGATCTTCGAGGCCGCCATTGTCACAGAAATCGCCATTGTGGAGTTTCGACTTCCACACGCAAGCAAAACCCGGTACTCCTCCTTTCTACATCAGTAGTTATTCTGTGAGCCAACTATGTCCACAAAATTTCCCGGAAAAAACCGCCACTGGGGGCCCCACATTTTAGCACCCGGAATTGTTCCAATTTACGAAATTTGCCACCGGCTTGTTATGGTATTGCGGCGATTTTAGGCATTTGCAATTACTGGGTCGATGGTCGTCGGAGATGGTGACCGGAAAACGTCACGCCGTCCCAGTTTCACTCTGTTTTCTGTTCCTTTTTATACCTCTTGGTGTGTTCTCTCTCCGTACACTTTCCCCTGACCCATGCGATCCTGCGAACCAGCGAGACACACGGACTCTGAGATCTGATCAGCTCACCGTCCTCATAAACGGCTACTCGGAGTCGCGCATCCCAATTCTCCAATCAATCGCTGCTACCTACTCCGGCTGCCCGTCTGTATCCTCTGTGCTCGTCCTATGGGGAAACCCATCCACCACAACCCGCACCCTGACCCAATTGGCCCACAATCTCTCTATCTCCTCCTTCGGTAACGCCGCCATTTCCCTGATCCGCGAATCCACCAGCAGCCTCAACACTAGATTCCTCCCCAGAGCATCAATTGAAACCCGTGCCGTTCTCATCTGCGACGATGACGTCGAAGTAGACCCAAAGTCAGTGGATTTCGCCTTCAGAATATGGAGGTCGAATCCAGACCGTCTGATCGGGCTTTTCGCGAGATCACACGACGTCGATTTACAACAGAGAGAATGGATTTACACGGTGCACCCAGACAAGTACTCGATCGTGCTGACCAAATTCATGATGATGAAGACGGAGTACCTCCAGAAGTACAGCTGCGGCGGCGGGGAGGCGATGGATGAAATGCGGCGGATTGTCGACGAGATGCGTAATTGCGAGGACATACTGATGAACTTCGTGGTGGCGGACGAGACGAATGCGGGGCCGGTAATGGTGGGGGCAGAGAGAGTGAGGGATTGGGGAGATGCTCGGAATGATGAAGATAGTGGCGGTAGTGATGGAGGGAAGAGATTGAACAGCAGGGTAACGGAGGCGGGGCTGAGTAGCAGGAGAGCGGAGCACAGGAAGAGGAGGGGGAATTGCATACGGGAGTTCCACAGGGTGTTGGGGAGGATGCCATTGAGGTACAGTTACGGGAAGGTAGTTAATTCAGTTGGGGAGCAAGGATTGTGCAATAAAGGTGGGAAATTGGTGTTCTGTGATGAATAATTAAGTTGCTGCAATTGCAATGCTGAATCCATAGCTTAGATAGTAGCAGTAATTTTGTTTTAATCTTGTGAAATTATAGACTCAATTATCAATGGAAATGAAAGTATTGAACTGTACATTATTGAATTGCTCCATATGATTACTCTTATTTTCTATGTTAAATCATATAGGGAAAGAAAGGCATTGTACAGTTCAAACCATTGCATAGAGTTGAATAGGGCAGAAGTCTAATATTGAGTGCTATCCCTCTGTAATATTTCAGGATGGTGCATACTGTAAAACAAGGAAATGAACTCATATTGTAGTGCATCAAATATTTCATTGGAGTGAATCCTGTAAAACATGGAAATGAACTCATATTGTAACAATGTTTTTGGTGCGGTCCAAACTGCGAAAAATTCATATTGTTTGAAGTTAACTCAAGGCCTGTATGAACGTTTCATCTATTGATATCGTGAATCGATGGATTTGAGTGAAGGATTTCAGCCCTGGAGCAGCAACAACACTGCATTAACACCTCAGCCCCCAGTACATACCTGCGGGCTGTTGTAATTTCAGACTCAGAAAAAAGTGAGAATCTTTTTTCCTGATTTTGGTGTTATGGTTACAGTTTGCATTTTAAATGCAAAGAAAAAGAGATCTTTTGAAGTTGAAAATGTACTTAGGCTTACTAGACCAGCGTCAAAGAAGAAATTCTCAGCAAGTCTGAAGAGCCAAAGCATGTTCATTTACGAGCAGTTTAACGCCTCCTTTGCCACCGCAAGGAGGCTGCCTGAATTACTACTCGATGGATCTCCCAGAAATCAAGTAAAAATATCAAAATTTAAAATTAAAACACTTTGATTTAGTGAGAAACAAATGAAAAAGATGTCTCAGCCTTATCAAATAAATCCGCCAAAATACAAGAAAGAAAAAATAGCGAATTTGGTGACAAGGTTGAAAGATTTGATCTAGGGAGCTGCATTCATCTCTATGGCACCGGATTTTTCAGCCAAAGAGCCAAACTCCAGCCCCGTTTTCCGATTTGTATTTCGAAATCGAAGAACAGAGATGTACATAATAAGCAAATACCAAGAAGAAAAAAACCAAATCAGATTCCGATCAGAACAACGAATCAAAAAATTAAGACGGGCCGACGAAGTACTGACGGCGAGTCGAGATCGATGCTTGAGCGGCGGCCGGTTGTCCAACAAACCCTAACCTGTTACGACCACTGGAATTTGGGGAGTATATATAGCTAGCAGGAGGAAATGGGGACGAGATGAGAAGACCAAAAAGCCCTTCTATCCAGATCGAACTGACGACTTTACCCTTTTTTTAGTTTTTTTAGTTTTTTTTTTAAGTCTGGACCTCGAGAAAGCGTCTGCAAAAGTATTACTCCTTCGGTTAAATTGTTCTATTGAACTTATAGAATTTCATTTTTGATTTGAAATATTATGATTTAATTGGGTAAAAATTTGTTTAAATTAAATGTATTATTAATTTTTAATTTAAGATATTTACATTTAATTATTTATTTTTTAAATATATTACTTAATGTTTTTATTTTTATTTTATTTTAGATCATTGTAATATATAGATTATTCTTTTTGTTTGAGAGCAATTGGTTTTTATTTTATTTTATTTTGAGATTAAAAATTTTAAGGTAATATCAATGACTTATAGTTATTGATCCAAATGAAAAGAATTCAATTCTTTTAAATAAGATTTTAAGTTTGAGTTTTTTAAATTGAGAAATAGGTACTAAAAGAGTTTATCTTTTATGGATTTAATGCGGTTTGATTTTTAATTAGTTAAGATCTAATATGATTACTGAATATAGAAAGGTTAATAAAAAAAATTAGAATAATTTTTTATTTTTACTTACTTTATATAAAATGAATTAAAACAA